AACCCCCAGGTGACAGGTGAAATCACACCATGGCAAATCATCACAGATGATAGGTAACATCTTATCAAATCAGACTATCACTTATATTCAGACACTTGGGACACCTTAGACAGAGCCGGACTCGGTTCTCTAACTGTCAGTCAATCAACATTGGCTGTAGTGCGAGGGGAAGGTGTTAGATGTAAAAAATTAAAGGGTGTTATAGGTAAGTATGGTAACAAAAAGAGAAAGGAGGCAAGTAAATAAAGTAGAGCAGTGATTAGTAAATGGGAAAGGTTAAGGAGGTAGAGCGATTAACGAATTACATTGTATCTGTGACTGGGAAAGGAATAGGGATAATAGGTGATAACAGTAGATATGGCTGTCTTAGTAGAAGGGGATTACGTATATGAGGGTTGTGATAAAGGATCAGGAGAAGGTGAAGGAATAGTGTCTGGTGATTCCATAGGGAAGGTGGGGTCTGGGGAAAGGTATTGTCATAAAAGAGATTTACATGTATATCTAGGAGGGAGTGGGAGGGATAGTGGGGAAGGATGGGGTTTTAGTGGGTTTTTTGGTTTGGATGGTACGGGTGATTTGGCTGATTGAGAGGATGAGGTATGTGGAAAAGAATGGGGTTTTGGGGGAGGTTTGGGTTTGGGTGGTTGAGAGGATGAGGTATTTTGGGAAGGGGTAGGGGGAATATAAGGGGGTAGAGTTACTGAGTGAATTGCAGTGTATCTATGGCTGTTGGAGATGTAGGAAGAGAAGAATCCAGGGGATGAGAAAGGGAGACTGGGGAAGTCGGTGAAGTATCAGGAAGAATATCTGGAGGGAGAAGGACACTGTTGTGATAGAGGGGATTTGTGTGAGTATTCAAGTGGAAGCGAAGCAGTAGAGAGGATGGCGTATGTTGGGAGGGTGTAGGAGAAAGGGGGTGGAGGGAACTTGAGGAGGAGGAAGGTGGATATCTGCAAATACTACAAATGTAGGAGTAGGAACAGAGGGATTGGGGGGTGGATGAGGGAGTGGAGTGGTCCCTTGGGTCATCTTTAGGAAGTTTTGAATGTCTTCAGGGGTTTATGGAGGGGAGTTGGGTAAAGAGGACTGAGAAAAAAAGGTTCTCTTATGAGGAGAAGAGATAGATATCAGAGGAACAGAAGAAGAGGAAGGTGTAGGAGAGAATGTAGTAGGAGAGCGTGGAGTGCAACGTTTAGGTTGCCAGGTAAGAAAAATAAAGTGAGGAGGATGGGTATTGGGGAAGTGGTAGAAATTGGAGTATCTGGATTTAGAATGGAAAATGAATTTGACTGGTGGATAGGTTGAGTAGATGTAGGACGTAGGTTTAGGGTACTGGAGAGAGATACCTGGGGAGATGCAGGAACATCTTGTGAAGATGGTGGGGGAGCAGAGCAAAGGACTGTTTTGGAATAAGTTCAGAGAGAAAAACCTCATCATTGTGCTTCCTGTTTGGCCTAACGTAGAGTGAGGCCTAGTTTAAATCTGCTATCTCACAATCAAACTTATTGGCAGGGCAGCTACTATAAAATACATTATGGGAGTCTCTACAATTGGCACATGTACGTGACTATGCAGGGCATTTTGAACGGTCATGACCAGGTTGGGCACATAGAGGGCAGCGGGCTGAGGAGCAAAAATGATTGGCTGGGTGGCCAAAACACCAACATTTCTGACATTGATGAGGAAGGGGTTGATACTATCGGACATGATAAGACAATCCACTAATATAAACCTCATGGGGGAGGTCTTGTCTATGGAAGCTAATCTTGCCAATATTGATATGGGATTTATGCTAGACTCTGGGAGGAAGAGTGTATGATTGTACTGCCACTGCATCATATTCACCAAGGCAGGAAAGTAGGTCATTTTCACAGTCTGACCAGTCCTTGTCATACATGGGACAAGCATTTGGGGAAATAGAAACAGTTCCGGTACAAGTATTAAGAGAGAGGTGAGGTTCAGCAGGAATGGGTCTACCAGTGAGGTCAGTTAGGGTAGATAGTGCACGAGCTTGGGATTCAGATGTAACAGTGACAAGGTGTGAACGATCAGAGCGACTGAGAAAGGTAACCTTGCCTGCTTGTTTCTGGAGACACTGTTGAAAGAGAAGGGTATTCTTAGAATAGGGGGCTGTGGGGGTAATCACAAAGAATCGATCCCACTTGGCTCGGCCAAAGAGAGTACTTAGAAAGGTTTGCAGAGGTAGAGGCAGAAGGACAAGAGCAAGAGGAAGGTGGGGGAAGGTGGGGTGGTGTGGAGTGGAGTAGTTCTGTGGGCGAGAGGACAATAAGGATGGAGAGTAGTAATAAGGGAAGAGGGGGTTGACATTGAAGAGGACTGTGCATCAGGAGATGAAGAGGAGAATATTGGGGAAGAGGAAGGGGTGCTTTCTAGAGGTTGAGTAATAACCTGGGTGGGTGTTTTGAAATGGTTAGAGTTGTTCGTAAGTGTTGAAGAGGGGGTATTAGTATCAGTGGTTGGAGCCATGGTCAAAGGAGGGGCAGGGGTTGGAAAACCATCAAAATCAAATTCAGATAGGCAATTTGACGAAGGGGTAAGCCTTAATGCCCCTATTAAGGATAAAGAATCTTCATTATTGGCCATGGTGAGCCTGAATAAACTGGGGAAAGGAAACAGTCTACCCCTCAGGGTCCCCATAAGGGGTAACAGCTGGCAATTAACCCACTAATGACAGGTGTCCCATATATGAGACATCCGAAAAAAATAAACATTGCCGGGCGTTCCACTAGTGTGACGCTGTATCGGGGCTCGCGCTCCAACTCAGCAGTGGGCCGCCGATTTTGTAACCGCCTGGAATCTTTTATTTTCAGCTTCAGAATATACTGGTGTTAATGGGTTAACCAAGGGAATACCGTGCCCATGGCTCCCGGAGGCTGTTCGTGACTGACACAAAGCAAGCCTTTCATCCTTTCAGCATGGCTCTCACACCTTAGGAATGGGATAGAAGAAGGGAATAAAGAAGATACAGAATAGGAAAGAAGAGAAGAAAGGACCAAGCAAAATTAGTTGAGGTGTGGGCTGATCCCCTAAACCTGGTCTTAGTCCTCGTCTCCTAAGCCCTCCCACAGTGATATCGAGCAAGGTATTGGGAGGGTTACCTCATATTTTCAATTAGACAATCATACCTTGTACCTAAAACTTCACACCAAATCACAAGAGCAGAAAATGTTATAATACACAATCTTCTTCAGCTTTAAAATATGGAATAAAATCAAAACCTATAAAACCCAAACTGTTCCTAAAATTAGAAAGCAAATTAGAAGCATGAATCCCAGCTAATTTTGTTGATTATTATGCTGACAACAAAAGTCTATATGTAAATACTTTTATAAATACTCAAACCCTTATCTACCAGCTTCCTTGTCCTTTGCCAAAAAAAACTATGTCAAACACAATAGTCATAATAATTTTAAAATATACATTATCTTTCAACAACAAAAAATATAGATTACATCATGAATTTCCTAATTACCAAAATAATAAAATTTTATTTTTTATCTTCACACTTTTAATAAGATGGCAACAGAATAATATTTGCTAAACTTAACAAGTTTGTCATAAAGAACTGTTGTATTTCCCGCAGAGAGTTATAAAATTCAATAAAAGCAAGGCCTTTCCTTATCTTTTACTCTATAAATAAATTCTAGAAGGATTTCTTAAGGAAAAAATGCTGGCTAGTAACATATATATCTGAAATTCAACATTAAAATTATGATAAAAATAACTGTGGGTGTATTAAGGAGCATTTATATGAGTGCACTAATGTATAAATATCCATGCTTGAACAGTCATAAAAAAAAATTACAAATATAAACAATTATCAAAGAGGAAAAGAGGGCATCAAAATCACATTAACAGCATAAACAGTATGGATAAAGAAAAAAGAGAATAATAATAAAAAAAAGGAATCTTTTAAAACTGAGTATCCTAACCAGAGAAGCATTTAGATAATCAAAAGGCCTTCCCTTTGCTTCACCATTTCATATGTAGGAGACAAGAAAATATTATAAAAGCATTACAAGTCTGCTTTGCATTAATCATAGCTATAGCTTGCCAAAATCAATAAAAAAACTGTGACAATAGAAGTGGATGACTTTGACCACTCTCTCTCCAATCTTATCAATGTTTTCTACTATTGTGTTTTTTTCCTGTCAAAAGCCTGGCACTGAAATACAGTAGAGAGTAACTTGGTTTTTATATACAAAAACCTTAAAATATATAGCACTGCTAAATAATAAAAAAGGACTCCTTTTTCAACATGTGACCATACTCATCCTTGATACGGAATGATTATTATGGCCTTTTTCATATAAAATACTACAAACCATATAAAGTTGTCAGGTTTTTCATTGTTCTGCAGACTAGCAAATCAAGGTTTGAGTGAAAGCTATTTACATATTGTTAGAATTCATGATTTCCCCCCTATTCTAACTACTCATAGTTAGTGATTATCTTCTATCACTGACTGCACAATATAAATTAGTCCATACTTGTGAGTTTTTACCATAAGCAATCATAGGAGAGACCAACAAACCTTAAAGCGGACTAATGATATTGTTCCTTCTATTATGGCTGGCACAGAGTATGGTACATAATGAAGCATTCCTCTTAATCGTACCATGTAACTCATCAGACTATAAGCCTAAAAAAAAGCAAAGCTCTTCCTTTAGAAATGTTATGCATGTGTATCCTGGGCAGGCAATCCAAACCTGAAGAGAGGGGCATTCTCAACTGCTGATATCTTGGGTGCACTTTGTGGTTACATAAAACTAATCCACACCATGCTGTAACATTACCAAAGTCTTCACCTTTATTCTTCTGACAGAATCAAGACCTTCAACAAATGCTCTCACTGAAAATCTCAGCATGTTAAAAGATGCACGGACATTGCCTAAGAGATAGGAGATGACAGTCATACCCTAGAATAAAAAGATATGATGTAATTCCTTAATACTGTAGATTTAACATCAAATAAAAAATTTTCTCTTTTAGGTTTAATGTTACTTTCATCCTTTGTGATACCAAAAACACACCACAGAGAAATGAAAACTTCTCATTATGCAGAAGCTCTATATTCTGCATAAAATTTCTCAAACCTTCTAGAAAACACATTAAACTAAAAAATTCACCAAATTTGCATAACCCTGATTTCACACAGTAGTCAAATTAAATTATCCAGCTTGCCTATATTCAAATTCATGATACCTTTTACAAAATGTTCATTATACTCTATGCAAATATTTATATATATATATATTATATATAATATATATATATATATATATATATATATATATATATATATATATATATATATATATATATATATATATATATATATATAATATATATATATATATATATATATTATAATACTATATATATATATTAATATATATATATATATATATATACATATATATATAACAATGAGTAATTATTAAATATACTATATAGTATAGTATATATATATATATATATATATAGGATAAAAATGCATATAATATAGTGAATAACTATAGTAGATATATACGTATAAATATAAAGTAATATTATTAGAGTAAAATAATATATGCAATATAATATTATATAATTAATATTATATATATATATATCTAATATAATAGCATAATATATAATTATATATTAATATAGTAGTATATATAGGTACATATATATGTATATACTATAGTTACTATAACGATAAAGAGTATAAAGCTTAGAGATCCCGGAACTAGAGATTAGTATATGTATAGATATAGGGATTATTATAGAAAGGGACTGTAGGATACTAGTAACATATACCATATACATATACAGTAGTATACATTATAATATATGAGATAGATAAGAATATAATAATTAGAAATATGAACGTTAGAATATATATATAATATTATACACTATACATAATACATACGTAGAACATAGTAATAAGAGTATATATAATAATATATATATAGAATATATAACATAGACATTATATAGTAGAAGAGAGTATATATAATATAATAGATGAATATAGATATAGTAGGTGTAAGGATAGAGCATACATACATATAGTAGTGTAGCATATACATGATAGTATGACATACATAATATATAGTAATATAAGAAGAAGGGGGGAAGGCGAGGTATTAAGAGAAACAGAGTGGGGCAAGGGAAAGGAAGATAAGAAGAGTAGATATAACGCCAGCGCAGGGACAGATTGAGGACCAGCGGAAGAGCATTCTAAGGAAGGAGACGGGGAAAAGAGGAGTAAGAGAAGGAAGACACGGAGGAGAAGGATGTGATAAGATAGAAAAGAGTAGAGCAGGTGGAGTATAGGCTATATATATTATAATATAGTAGAGTAATATTAATATATGCATATATAAGATAGCATGCATATATAATTACAGAGTAAGGTAAGTAGTAAGTAGGAGTAAGAGTATAAATATAATAAGGGTATAAATATATAATATATAGGTATATGATATAGTATGCATATATAATTATCATATATTAGATAAATATAATATATATAATTATATATATAATATATATATATATATATAAATTATATATATGGCATATATATATAATGGCATATATATATATATATATATATTATATATAGTATAATATATATATATATATAATACATATACATATATGAATAATACATATACATATAATATTATAATATATAATATATAATAATATATATATAATACATATACAATATATTATATATATATATATATATACATATATATTTATAAGTATATATATTATATATATATATAATATATATAATAATATATATATATATATATATATATATATATATATATATATATATACATATATAATATATAGTATTATATATATAACATATATATACATATATATATATATATAATATATATATATATAATATATATAAATATATATAAATATAATAATATATTATACATATACCATATATAAATATAATATATATTATATATATAATATATATATATATATAAGTATATAGTATACAATACTATCTACTATCTATCTTATACATCTATATCTATATCTAATATCTACATCATATCAAGTCTTTCTATCTATCTATCTATCTATCTATCTATTCATATAATATATAAGTATATATTATATAATATATATTATGGTTAATGTATAGTATACTATATTATATATATATATATAATATATATTATATTTATTATATATATCTATTATAAACATGACAATATATATAAATCATATATATATAACACATATATACTGTATATCACACACAACACACACACACACACACAACACACGCACATATATATATAATATATATATAATATAATATATATATATATATATATATATAATAATATTAATATATATATAATATTCATATATATATAATATATATATATATAATATATATATAATATATTATGATATATGTGATGTGTGTGTTGTTGATGAGTGTATGTGTGGTGTGTGTGTGATGTGTGTGTATATGGGTGTGTGTGTGTGTGTGTGTGTGTGTGTGTGATTGTGTGTGTGTGTGTATTATATAATCTATTATCATAGTGCTAATATAACTAATATAAACAATATATAATATAATATAATATATATTATAATTAATATATAAAGTGTGTAGTGAGTGTGAGTGTGTATTTGTTAGCATGTTGTGTTGTGTGTGTGTGTGTCGCTCATGTGATGGTGTAGTGTGTGTGTGTGTGTGTGCTCTGTGAGAATTGTGTGTGTGTATTAAACATTATAATCAAACCACCAACTAATTACAATATACTAACCACATACATATCACTATAACTATACCTCACATACACATACATAACACACAACTGTTATACTATTGTATTGTAATGTATATATATATTATACACAATCAACACACACACATAGTATATAATATTATACAATACACACATATATATATAAATATAAATATAATATACATAAAGTGTATTGATATAATATTAATATGTATTATATATTAATATTAATATAAATATGTGTATATATATGATAAGTTTATATATATATTATGTAATATATAATATTAATTAAGCAACACTAACACTACAAGCACATCACAAACTAATACTAACCACATACTACATCAAATAACAATCACACACTATCACATTATATAATATATACAACACTATACAACATCACAACACACTACTAATAACACAATCATCACTAACACAACTACTACACATAATATACAATATATACATCATATATAAATATATCACAACTATACATATATACATATACTATATATATATATATATAGCCTACACCTACACCATAAACTAACTATATCATACATATATATATACATATATACACTAAATATATAATCCAATATATATATATATATCATATAATAATATAATGATAATAATTAATTAATATATCAATTATATATTAATAATATGAATAATATAAATTATAATTAATATAATATATATATTAATAAATAATATATATATAATAAAATTATTAAATAATATATAATATTAATATAATCAATAACATTAATATATAATTATGCTGCATGTAGATGTATTAGTGGTACAGTGAGTATGTGTATGTAGTTTAAAACATAAAGTGTTTATATAATATATATATATATAATATTATATATATAATATATATTATAATTATATAATATATATATAATTAAATATATAATTATAATATAATACTTAATTATATATATATATATATAGTTATATATATTATATTATATTATACATACATACATTATTATATATATATGTATATATTAATATAGTATAATATATATATTATATATAAATAAATAGATTATAGAATAGATATGATATATAGATATTGATAGAAATAGGACTTGATTTAATAGATTGTTTTAGATATAATAAAATTAAATATAGATATATAATAAGAAAACATAAAATAATAGATTAAAAAATAAAATTAATAATAATATATATATATAAATTATTAATATATTAATATTATATATAGTATAATACATAATATATAATAATTAATATAATATAAGATATATATTAGATATGTTATATATGTATTTATATATATATAATATATTATATATTATATTATATATACTAGTATTAAATGTAATATAATTAACCATATATTAAATTAAATATATTGACAGTTATATATAAAATATATAACATAATATATTAACATATTTATAATATATACTAATAATTATGTAATATATAGTATATATATAAGATAATTAATTATATAAAATATCATATATAATATATAATGAGTATATATATATAAATAAATATACATACATATCTAATAATATAATTATATATATAGTAGTATATAGTATATATATATAGACAACATATATTATATATAGAACTTATATATGATTATAGATTAAATAATAAATATTAATATATAATTATAAATATATATAATATACGATATATTTTAATATAATGTATATATATATATATAATGCATATAATATTATAAGATATCAAATATATATATATCATAATATATATTATAATATATAATATATTAATATAATAAATAAATAATAAATCAATAATATACTTAATATATTTATAATTAAATGATTAAATATAAATAATAAATATATAATGTATATGATATAATATAATAATATAATAATAATAATAATATATATAATAATAATAGTTAATTATATATATTAACATATATAAGATATGATATATTAATAATATGTTATAATATGTTATATAATATATATATAATAATAATATTAAATATATATATAATAATAATAATATATATATAATATATACATATAATATATGTAATTAATTATTATTAATATTAATATTATATATTAATAATATGATACTAATAT